GTCTTACTGTCACTGTCACAACACAACGAGAGTTTGTGGAAAGATGTAAGTAGTAGTACTGTATTAAAAAACTGTTTTACGATAGAAATGTTCAGCAGCCGACAGTAATAGACTATCTAGTGATGCAAACTACTCAACTTTTTATGAAATTTCGCCGTTTTGAATTAAAAATATGCGATCATGATTCATGTAAATCATAAATGAACGTGATAAGAGACGTTTGCGTTTTCAACTATTAGACATACGAATAAGAGTGAATTTGCATTTTAAAATAAAATATTATTTTCAAATAGTGTAAATTGATTACTACTTCATATGAAGAGTTCAGATGAAGTGCCGTTTGACATTTTCTTCTAAAATGAGCATTTTTATCAGGCTCCTATGTGTAGGTTCAGTAATTTCACTTTAATGGCAATGAATAGTTTATTTTCTTTCCCATTAAAGTAAAATAACTGAACATAAACATAGGAGCCGGAGAAAATAACCATTTTAGAAGAAAATTTTAGATGGCACTTACATTTATCTGAACAGCATTTGTCTGAAATAGAAATCTTTTGTAACATTATAAATGTCTTTATCATCACTTTTGATCAATTTAAAGCATCCTTGCTAAATAAAAGTATTAATTTCTATAATTTTTCAAAATCCTGACTCTAACTTTTGAATGGAATAGTGTATAATGTTACAAAAGCTTTTCATTTCAGATAAATGCTGATCTTTGGATCATTTCTGCCCCCCTCACTTCTGAAATGATGGCTACGCCCCTGGTCAGACAGACGGATGAATAGACAGACAGACAGACAGACAGGTTTGTTCTGCAGTGACCCAAATTTGTGTGGCTGTCTCTGAGTGTGTGTCTGTCTGTTTCTCATAATGTATTCTGCAGGTGAAGCTGCTCTTCATCAGGTCTCTGGTTCTTGCGTGTTCTTCCCTTGAGTCTGTGTGATTCAGTCAGAGCGTTCAGCCATCTGTTCTGCGGAGAACAGCAGACAGAGCAGAAACACACACATACACACACACGCGCGCGTGCGGGAGTCTCTCAGGAAAGGTGACCCTCGGCTCACAGCTGAAATATGACATTTGAAAATAAAAGATGTGATCAGTATTAGTGTCACAGAGGTAAACAAACAGCTCAGCAGACTCGTGTTTCTCCTCATGCTGTCTGTAGTAACTAACAAGACAGAACTCAGACTGTGTTAGTGCTTTTGCTTTTGATGTATTATTAATAATCCTTTGTGCAGAGCAGGATATTAATAATCTTCTTTGGCTAGTAAAAATTCTTGTCCTAATGGATGTATAGATTCTCAAATGTTTTCAGAGCATGATGAAAAAAAGATTTCAGAAATAATACAAGAACTGCAGTTAACAAGTGCTGAGAATATAATATATATATTCTCAGCACATGAGTGTATACATTTCTATCATGTCAAATTGGAATAATTAAATAGTTTTATTGTTTTTGAAAGAAGTCTCTTTGAAAGAAGCTCACCGATGCCGCATTTATTTACAGCAACAACAGAAAAATTGTTAAAATATACATTTTTTATAAATATGAAGCAGCAACTGTTTTCATCATCATTAATAATCAGAAATGTTTCTTGAGCAGCAATCAGCATATTAGAATCTTAGCATATTAGAATGTGACACTGAAGACTGGAGAAATGATGCTGAAAATTCAGATTTGATCACAACAATAAATTACATTTTACAATACATTCACATAGAAGGCAGCTATTTTAAATAATAATAATATTTCACAATAATTCTGATTTTACTGTATTTTTGGTCAAATAAACGGAGCCTTGGTGAGCAGAAGAGACTTCTTGCAAAAACATTAAAATAAAAACTTACTCCAAAGTTTTGACCAGCACTGTATGTATATACTGTATCTATATATCTATCTATCTATATACATAGTGTTATTAACAACAGACTTAAAGGGGTCATCAGATGCCCATTTTCCACAAGTTGATATGATTCTTTAGGGTCTTAATGAAAAGTTTATAACATACTTTGGTTAAAATTTCTCAATGGTAGTGTAAAAAACAGCTCTGTTCATATCAAGCCGTTTTGTTGAATGTTCCTTTAAATGATAATGAGCTCTGCTGACCCCGCCCCTCTCTTCCATGGGGTTAAGAGCCGTTCTCATGATACTGTTTACTTTAGCTGCGGAACTTGCTAACTAGCACGTTATTAGGAAAGGCGATTTGCAAAGATTCATAAAAGAACCTTATACTCACTTCTTCTGGAGGTGATCAGATGCCCATTTTCCACAAGTTGATATGATTCTTTAGGGTCTTAATGAAAAGTTTATAACATACTTTGGTTAAAATTTCTCAATGGTAGTGTAAAAAACAGCTCTGTTCATATCAAGCCGTTTTGTTGAATGTTCCTTTAAATGATAATGAGCTCTGCTGACCCCGCCCCTCTCTTCCTTGTGGTGACGGGCAGACTGTAAACTTTAGCTGCATTTACTTGTTAACTAGCACATACTGTATTAGAAAAGGTGATTTGCAAAGATTCATAAAAAACCCTTATACTCACTTCTTCTGTAGATGGAGCTGGATCACGAATGATTTGCGCCAATAGAGACGCATTTAGGTAGATCGGGGCGCATTCCCTTCAAAAACGAAAGTAACATTAATCCACTGCGTCTTTATTGGCTCAGATGTCGGGAGTAAATGACGACTGCTATGTTCATTATTACATCCAACAACAAAACACCTCAATTGGAGACATTCTTGTCTTCCCCTGCACCGGAGTCAACACAATGGCGGACAGCTCACAGCTCACTCAGGGCGGATCTAAGGTAAGACGGCCTTGTCAATCAACTCATTCTTGTCTACATCTGGAGTCGACACAATGGCGGACTGATGACAGCTCACTCAGGACGGGTCTAAGGTAAAACGGCCTTGTCAATCAACTATTGTGGGAGGGGCCTCTCAGAACAGCCTGATTTGAGAAAGGGGATTTTAAAATAGGGATTTTAAAAAAAGCACTGGGTGGATTTTTATCATTATAGGGTGGTTGTGTACACACACTGCCAACACACATTTATGTTCAAACAACATGTAAAAGTGAATTTTGCATCCGTTGACCCCTTTAAATGTAATGTTTTCACCTTTTTACTTCGCACTTTTTAAATACAATCCGAATAAATGTTGTTCACTTACTTGAGATGAAGAATCAGTGTCAGTGGTCTAGAAAAACCTGTTTTATTTTTGTACACCACATGATCCGTCAAATGATCGGATTAATATTACTCACTGTAACCACCTGGCTATGGAATGAATCAATCAATCCTGTGAAGAACTGAAAAGTTGCAAGTGACGATGCCACAAAGTCTCCACATACAGACGGCTGGTGCAACATCAACAAACACATCTTCACAGATGTGAGCTGTAAATAAAATTCATTCTTGTGTTTGTTCTGAACGGCTCTGGCTGTCAGTTACCTATTTTTGTTGTTGCTATTTGTTACAGAAGCAGCAGAAATGATTCAAATGTCACTCCTGAGTGAAACCCACAGCAGAAAACTTCTCTTCATGATGTGGGCTAAATCATCTGTGACTTAAACATGAGTGAATCTTACAAAATCCACCTAGAAAATTTCCAGACTGTATTTCACCACTAAATCAAGATGTTTTTCAATCCTTTGTACATTTTTTCTTTTGATTTTGAGGTGAAATCAGTAGAAATCTTGTGAGATTCTCATACTGAAGTTGAAGTTGACTTTGAGATTTAAGACGCTCGTGGCTGTGATTTTTTTTCAGTCATATCACAACAGCCATTTAGTCATAATCGGTGTTTTTCTCCGTCAGCGTCGCTCAGCCTCACAGCTTATTATACGTCATTTCTTTCAAATCGCATTTCAGAAAAGAAAACTCCAGCTGTGTCCAGAGAGAGTCAGAAAGCGTGTGGGAACGTTCCAGTGTTTTGTTTTTCATACATGGCTGACAGAGACACTTTGTTCACGTATGATCCTGTGGATAGCGTGCTGCTTTAGTATTTGACAACATGATTTAACGTCACTCACTTTTGACCAAAAGGACAGAGAAAACACATCAAAAAACATTCTTGAAGGAAAGGTTGACCCAAAAATTAACATTTGATGAAATTTTACTCACCCTCAGGCCATCCAAAATGTAGATGAGTTTGTTTCTTCATCAGATTTGGAGAAATGTAGCATTGCATCACTAGCTCACCAATGGATGCTCTGCAGTGAATGGGTGCCGTCAGAATGAGAGTCCAAACAGCTGATAAAAACATCACAGTAATCCACAAGTAATCCACACCACTCCAGTCCATCAGTTCACATATTAAGAAGACAATATCTGCATGTTTGTAAGAAACAAATCCATCAATAAGATGTTTTTAACTTCAAACTGTTGTTTCCGGCTCAAATACGAGTGCATAATCCATAATAACGCTTCCTCCAGTGAAAGTGCATCTCCTGTTGTCTCTCACATCAAAATCCAGCCACATATTTGTTTAGAGATGTCTTGGCTTGTAAACGGTGCTTGATCTGTGCAGATTTCTCTTCTGATTCAGACCAGACCACTTTTCACTGGAGGAAGCATTGTTTTGGATTACTGACTCATAAAAAAAAAAAAAAACATCTTGATGGATTTGTTTCTTACAAACATGCATCTTTTGGCTTCTCAAGACATTAACTGATGGACTGGAGTGGTGTGGATTACTTGTGATGTTTTTATCAGCTGTTTGGACTCTCATTCTGACGGCACCCATTCACTGCAGAGCATCCATTGCTGAGACACTGATGCAATGCTACATTTCTCCAAATCTGATGAAGAAACAAACTCATTTACATCTTGGATGGCCTGAGGGTGAGTAAAATTTCAGCAAATGTTAATTTTTGGGTGATCTATCACTTTAAATATCTATGAAATCAAAATGCACTTTCTTTATCCTGTTTTGACCCAATTTTTTATGTTTTACTTGTAAAATGGAATGGAAATATGTAAATAAATGGGTAGCGTAAACAACTTTCATGTTATTAAGAGACAAAAAAGACCAGAGACACAAATTGTCCACAATAAACAACTGTCATAGGATGTATTTTTTGTTCCAAGTGGCAAATCACTGAGAAAAGCACGGGCAAAGAGTGATAAATGCGGAGCGTACAGCCTTTTCCACAAAATCTGAAGTCTTTTGCATGAACGCATGTATTCACAACAACACCGCACTCGCCGACTCACACATTTATTCCGATTTAATTATACAATGATCGCTTCTTTGACTCCGTTAAACATAATACTGAGCACTGAATCGTTCAAAGGCAAAAGGAGAAGATGACATTACAAAGTTTCATTTCAAAAGAATATTTACAACCAATGAATGTCATTATACACACCTTAGAAACCGTACCATTGTGCCAAATCTCTGGACAATAACTGTTTTATGTACAAAAAGGGCAAAAACGGAGGGACACGTCGCTCCACTTCAGCAGCCCCAGTCTCTCGGTCGGTTTCCCATAATGCACCGTGAATGTTAATGTCCCTAGACTCGACAAGGCATTTCAGTCCGTCGGTTTAACTGGATTAGTCCGATACGAGGTGAAAGAGCGTCATATGAAATACTCTTTTTGGTTATCACTGATAATGCTCTGTGAGTTCGGATCCGTGTTAAAGGGCGTTTCGGGACTGTCGTCGTTTTTGTCTGCTTTGGGCTCTTGGGGCTGAAACGTTTCTTTCCGCCGGTACAGGAATCGCGCCATCACAGCCAGCGCGGCCAGACTCACAAATATCACGACGGCAATGACACCTGAAAAACAGCACAGCGACACGCGAAATAGTGAGGAGACTCTGGACAGCAGAGCTAGACGCTATGACTCAATTACATTTCTACATCTTTGGATAATGAAACATGCAAAATGGACATGGTTGACTAACTTTTGAAAAAAAGAAAAAAAAAAACTTAATATGTATTAGAAAAAAAACTTATATGTATTATATTATAATATGTATTAATTTTATAAAAAAATATATAACTTAATTAAAACAAGGAATTCATATCTGTAGTTATGATTATAATTCAACATTGGATGTAAGCACTGTAAAAAAAAAAGGAAAACAATTGGGGGTTATTAAAATAAATTATATTGAGAATAAAT